GAGGGAACTGTGGTGGCCATGGCCTTGTGGAGCCCTCATGGAGGTGGGAATGTCCCCAGAGCCACCCAAGGGGACATTTCTGCCTTTGGAGGGACAGCTCGACCTTTGGAGGGACAGGTCTGCCTTTGGAGGGGACAGTTCTGCCTTTGGAGGGACAATTCCTGAGGGAACTGTGGTGGCCATGGCCTTGTGGAGCCCTCATGGAGGTGGGAATGTCCCCAGAGCCACCCAAGGGGACAGTTCTGCCTTTGGAGGGGACAGTTCTGTCTTTGAGGGGACAGTTCCTGAGGGAACTGTGGTGGCCATGGCCTTGTGGAGCCCTCATGGAGGTGGGAATGTCCCCAAGGAGTCAATTCCTCCTTTGGAGAACCTGTCCCCTCTGGGAATGTCCCCAAAGCCACCCAAGGAGTCAATTCCTCCTTTGGAGAACCTGTCCCCTCTGGGAATGTCCCCAAAGCCACCCAAGGAGTCAATTCCCCCTTTGAAGGACCAACCGACCAACTGGGAATTGGCCAATTCCCAACTGACAACTCTTACGGGAACGTCCCCAAGGAGCGACACAACCAACATTCCTTGGGTCCCCAAAGCCACCCAAGGAGTCAATTCCCCCTTTGAAGGACCAACCGACCAACTGGGAATTGGCCAATTCCCAACTGACAACTCTTACGGGAACGTCCCCAAGGAGCGACACAACCAACATTCCTTGGGGTGCCAAAAAAGGGGTTTTTTCCCCCAAAAAGCAGCCCTGGAGACCCTACCTGGAGCACCCCGAAGGTGCACTGGTAGCCCATGCGCACCAGGCAGCGCAGGGTCAGCTTGAGCACCATGGACCTCTTGAAGGACACGAAATTCCGGACGTTCTCCAGCAGGAAGAAGCGCGGCCGGTAATAATCGCAGTAACTGCGGGGACAGCGGGACGTCGGCGTGGCCAGGGGACACTGGAGGGGGTCTCACCCCAAAAATCTCCTCCATCACCCCAAAAAATCCTCTCCACACCCACCAGGGGACACCAGATGGGGTCTCACCCCAAAAAACAACCTCTACACACCCATGAAGGGTCCCACCCCAAAAAATCCCATCCACATCCATGAGGGGACACCAGATGGGGTCTCACCCCAAAAATGCCCTCCATCACCCCAAAAAATCCCATCCACATCCATGAGGGGACACCAGATGGGGTCTCACCCCAAAAACCCCTTCCATCACCCCAAAATTCCCATCCACACCCACCAGAGGACACAAGACAAGGTCTTACCCCAAAAAATCCCCTCCACACCCACCATGGGACATCAGATGGGGTCTCACCTCCCAAAAATCCCCTCCACACTCACGAGGAGACACCAGATGGGGTCTCACCCTCCAGAAACCCCCCCAGACCCACCTGAGGAAGGAGACCACCAGGGAGTTCTTGAACTTGGAGTAGGTGCGGGAGTTGAAGCGGTTCATGCCGCTGAAGCCCTGGCACGGGGGGCCACCACAGAGCATCTCCACGTCTCCCTTCTGGGGCAGCTTCTGGCCCAAGGAATTGGTTTTCTCGCCGGCCATGACCAGCTTGAGGAGGACGTTGCAGTCCTCGGTGAACACCGTGGTGCCGGGGTTGTTGAGCCGGAACGCCTGCGCCGCCGGCTCCCACATCTCGATGGCCCAGAGCGTCTCCGAGACTCCTGAGGGATGGGCAGAGGTGGGTGGGAGTGGGCAGGGATGGGCACTGGGAATGGCCAGGGATGGGCATCCGGAATGGGCAGGGATGGGCACTGGGAATGGGCAGAGATGGGCACTGGGAATGGGCAGAGATTGGCACTGGGAATGGGCAGGGATGTGCCCCTTTTTTACCCATTTTCAGCCCCTTTTTTACCCCATTTTCTGCCCCTTTCCCACCTCTTTTCCACCCCATTTTTCTGCCACTTTTTTACCCATTTTCTGCCCCTTTTTTACCCATTTTCAGCCCCTTTTTTACCCCATTTTCTGCCCCTTTCCCACCTCTTTTCCACCCCATTTTTCTGCCACTTTTTTACCCATTTTCTGCCCCTTTTTTACCCATTTTCAGCCCCTTTTTTACCCCATTTTCTGCCCCTTTCCCACCTCTTTTCCACCCCATTTTTCTGCCACTTTTTTACCCATTTTCTGCCCCTTTTTTACCCATTTTCAGCCCCTTTTTTACCCCATTTTCTGCCCCTTTCCCACCTCTTTTCCACCCCATTTTTCTGCCACTTTTTTACCCATTTTCTGCCACTTTTTTACCCATTTTCTGCCCCGTTTTTACCCATTTTCTGCCACTTTTTTACCCATTTTCTGCCACTTTTTTACCCATTTTCTGCCCCTTTTCCACCCCATTTTTCTGCCCCTTTTTTACCCATTTTTTGCCCCTTTTTTACCCATTTTCTGCCCTTTTTTACCCATTTTCTGCCTCTTTTTTACCCATTTTCTGCCTCTTTTCCACCCCATTTTTCAGTCCCTTTTTTACCCATTTTCTGCCCCTTTTCCACCCCTTTTTCCTGTCTTTTCCCACCCTTTCCTGCCCCCTTTCCCATCCCTTTTCCACCCCATTTTTCTGCCCTTTTCCCACCAGTTTTCCACCCTTTTTCCACCTTTTCCAGCCTCACCTTTCCCTTTCCCCTTCCCCTTCCCTTTGTTCCCAGAGCTCCGGGCGTGGTTGGGAGGATCCTCAAAGCTCTTGGTTTTGGCGTTGTAAGCCTGGAAAAAAAAGGAAACAAAAAATCCCCATTTCACCAGAACCCAACTTTGCTCCATCCCTGGTGCCTCCAGACCCCCAGGAACTCATCCAGACCTCCAAGAACTCATCCAGACCTCCAGGAACTCATCCAGACCCCCAGGAACTCATCCAGACCTCCAAGAACTCATCCAGACCTCCAGGAACTCATCCAGACCTCCAAGAACTCATCCAGACCTCCAGGAACTCATCCAGACCTCCAAGAACTCATCCAGACCTCCAGGAACTCATCCAGATCCTTGAAACCCCAGTTCAGTACCCAAGATTCGCTCCCCAAAATCTCAGATCCCGCCCCAAATCCAAGTCCTCCATGGAAAACCCACCTGGAGACACCAGAACCCCCCACTTTTCTCCATCCCTGGTGTCTCCAGACCTCCAGGAACTCATCCAGACCTCCAGGAACTCATCCAGATCCTTGAAACCCCAGTTCAGTACCCAAGATTCGCTCCCCAAAATCTCAGAACCGGCCCCAAATCCAAAACCTTCCCTGGAAAACCACCCAGAACCTCAAATTTGCTCCATCCCCCCCCACTTTACTCCATCCCTGGTGCCTCCAGACCTCCAGGAACTCATCCAGACCTCCAGGAACTCATCCAGATCCTTGAAACCCTAGTTCAGTACCCAAGATTCGCTCCCCAAAATCTCAGAACCGGCCCCAAATCCATGTCCTCCATGGAAAACCACCCAGAAACTCAACTTTTCTCCATCCCTGGTGTCTCCAGACCTCCAGGAACTCATCCAGACCTCCAGGAACTCATCCAGACCTCCAGGTACTCATCCAGATCCTTGAAACCCCAGTTCAGTACCCAAGATTCGCTCCCCAAAATCTCAGAACCGGCCCCAAATCCAAAACCTTCCCTGGAAAACCACCCAGAACCTCAACTTTTCTCCATCCCTGGTGTCTCCAGACCCCTCCTCTCCCCCTGGAATTCCCGTTCCCTCACCTCCAGGAAGTAGAAGCGGTCCAGGCCGCCGGCCGAGTAGTCCTGGATGCTCTCGGTCAGGTCCTCGCCGTAGACCACGGAGCAGCGGCCCTGGACCGCCCGGAACTCCACGGTGGCCTCCTCGTCGCTCCAGTAGAGGAGGTTGATGTCGGCGTGGTAGCTCGCCTTGGTGGACTTGTGGGTGTTCTCAGGCCTGGAGATTCCCGGGAAAACGCCGGGATTAGGGGACAACAACGAGGTGGGTCCTCCTCTTGGTGGGGTTGGGGTTTGGAGAGGGGATTTTGGGTGGGATGGAGGGAAGATTGGAGGTGGGATGGGGAGTGGATTGGGGGAAAAGGGTTTTAAGGGAGCTTGAGGCATCAAGAGATGGCCAAAAATGTCCCAAGATGTCCAAAGACGTCCCACGACATCCAAAGAAGGGCAAAGAAATCTAAAGACGTCTCAAGACATCCAAAAATGTCCCAAAATCTCCAAAGATACCCAAAAAACCCCAAAGGCATCCAAAGAAGGCCAAAGAAACCCAAAGACGTCTCAAGACATGCCAGGACATCCAAAAACGTCCCAAAATATCCAAAGATACCCAAAAAACCCCAAAGGCACCCAAAGAAGTCCAAAGACATCTAAAGACATGCCAGGACATCCAAAAACGTCCCAAAATATCCAAAGATACAAAAAAAAAAAATCCAAAGAAGTCCAAAGACATCTCAAGACATCCAAAAATGTCCCAAAATATCCAAAGATACCCAAAAAACACCAAAGGCATCCAGAGACATCCAAAGACATCTCAAGACATACCAGGACATCCAAAAACGTCCCAAAATATCCAAAGATACCCAAAAAACCCCAAAGGCATCCAGAGACATCCAAAGACATCTCAAGACATACCAGGACATCCAAAAACGTCCCAAAATATCCAAAGATACCCAAAAAACCCCAAAGGCACCCAAAGAAGTCCAAAGACATCTAAAGACATGCCAGGACATCCAAAAACGTCCCAAAATATCCAAAGATACAAAAAAAAAATCCAAAGAAGTCCAAAGACATCTCAAGACATCCAAAAATGTCCCAAAATATCCAAAGATACCCAAAAAACACCAAAGGCATCCAAAGAAGTCCAAAGACATCTAAAAATGTCCAAAGATGTCCCATCGGGATTCTCCAAGTCCATGGATTTCTACCCCAATTCCCAGCACTGCTCACGCCACCGACCCCAAATCCTCATCAAATTTTGGCAGCATTTTCCCAATTTTGGAAACCCTCATAGAACCGGGGACAAAATTCCCAATTTTGAGGCCAAGCTTGGGACAATCTTCCCAATTTTGTGACAGTTCTTCCAACTGGGAAGGTCCAACAAGGATCATCCAAGTTGGGAAGTCAACCAAGAACCTCCAAAGATTTGGGCCACCACATCAAGCCCCGCTTTCACCACCAACTCCAAACCTTCCCAGCCCCCTAAATCCCCCCAAAAACCCCCGGATTTGGCACCTGTAGAACTTGTAGATGCAGAGTTTGATGTCGGCCTCGTTGGGTTTGCCGTTGCCGCGCAGGCTGCAGAAGATGCTCTTGATGCGGCCCACGCGGAACGGGTCGGGCGCGTCCAGGTTGCTGCCCTTGATGTACTCCGAGTACTTCCGGTAGTGCTCGGGGTGCAGCTCCTCGTCCACCGCCTCCTTCTTGGGCCTCTTGGCCGGGCTGGCCGGCTTCACGCTGGGGAAATCGGGAGAAACGTCCCAAAAAACGTCGGGACGTGGAGTTTGGGAGGGTGGAGTTGGAAGGGTCTTGGAGGGGTTTGCCAGCCTTGAGTGCGGTTTGTGCAGCGAAAGTTGGGTGAAGATTTGGAATTGGAGGATTTTGTGGGGTTTTCCAGCTCTGACCCCAGTTTTTATGTCAAAATTTGGGTGAAGATTTAGACTTGAGGGAGCTTGCAGGAGTTTTCTAGCCTTGACCCCGATTTTTTTCTCAAAATTTGGGTGAACAGTAAGAATCGAGGAATCTTGGAGGGGTCTTCTAAACTTAACTGGTTCTTTAATTCCATAATTCCAATTTGTCCACCAAAAGTTGGGTGAAGATGTGGAATTAAGAGATCCTGGAAGGGTTTTCCAGCCTTGATTCCAATTTGCTCACCAAAAGTTGGGTGAAGGTTTGGAATTCAGGGATCTTGGCTGGGTCTCCTAACTTTAATTGGTTCTATGATTCCAAAATTCCAATTTGTCCACCAAAAGTTGGGTGAAGATGTGGAATTAAGAGATCCTGGAAGGGTTTTCCAGCCTTGATTCCAATTTGCTCACCAAAAGTTGGGTGAAGGTTTGGAATTCAGGGATCTTGGCTGGGTCTCCTAACTTTAATTGGTTCTATGATTCCAAAATTCCAATTTGTCCACCAGAAGTTGGGTCAAGATTTGGAACTGAAAGATCTTGTGGGTTTTCCAGCCTTGATTCCAATTTTTTTTGGTCAAAAGTTGGGTTAAGAGTTGGAATTGAGAGATCTTGGAGAGGTTTTAGAGCCTTAACTCCATAATTACAATTTACCCCCCAAAATTGGGTTAAAATTTGGAATCTTAGAGGAATCTCCCAACTTGAATTCTCCAATCCTGCAATTCCCGAATTCCAATTCACCCCCAAAACACATCATCCCACCAGAGCCACCTCCCAATCAAACAACCGAAAACCAAATCTGGGGTAATTCTGATGCCAAACTTCTGGAACTTCAGGACACCAGACCTCCATTTACAGGTGGGAAGACCCCAAAAATCCCCGAATCCCACCCCAAAGGTGAGGTCCCCAAACCCACCTGAAGGAGAAGGCGTCTGGCAGCAGGTAGACGCCGTCCCCCACCCGGTACTGGACGCCGTTCTTGGTGGCCACGGCGTAGAACATCTTGCCATCGGCCTCCTCCAGCGGCTCGGCCACCTTGGGGATCTCCTTGTGCCTCACCTCGTCCAGGCGTGCGCAGCTCAAGCAGAACCTGCTGGAACACCGCCACGTTCTCCAAAAAAATCCATTTATGGGGCGGGAAGAACCCAAAATTTCAGTTTTTCCACCCAAAAACTGACTTGTACTTGTTGTCCTCGGTGGGCTGCGCGTCGGGCGGGCTCTCGAAGCGCGCGTACTCCTGGTCGTACCACATCTGGTAGAAGTAGGTCCTCCCATCGTCTTCCACCATCTTGATCTCCGTGTCCAGCCCGCCCTGAAGGACAAAACCAGCGGGGTGGCCGGGATCGGCCGCGCTGACCGGCACCGGCCGGACCCCGCGGCGCTGTCCCCACCTCCATGGCCCAGTTGTCCGAGGGCGCCTTGTAGATGACGTTGACCTTGCCGTGGATGTAGGACAGCTGCATGTCCTCGCACTCGTCCACCAGGAACAGCTCCAGAGGGTCCGAGGTGGCCCCCAGGACGGTGTCCGAGCCCGGGCAGAACCAGTGGGCGTGGAACATCTGGCCACTGCTGTCCTCCCACATGGCCGTCACCCTGAGGGGCGCCGAGGTGTGAGAGGGGACGTCCCTGTGTCCCCAACCCCATGGGTGCAAGGAGAACCCACCTGGCTTGGTGGGATCATTGGAGGTGTCCCCATGTCCCCGACCCATGGGAGAATGGAGAACCCACTTGGCTTGGTGGGATCATCAGGGATGTCCCCAACCCCATGGGAGAATGGAGAACCCACCTGGCTTGGTGGGAACATCAGGGATGTCCCTGTGTCCCCAACCCCACGGGAGAATGGAGAACCCACCTGGCTTGGTGGGATCATTGGAGGTGTCCCCATGTCCCCGACCCATGGGAGAATGGAGAACCCACTTGGCTTGGTGGGATCATCAGGGATGTCCCCAACCCACGGGAGTAGGGAGAACCCACCTGGCTTGGTGGGATCACTGGGGACATCCCCTGTCCCCAACCCATGGGAGAAAGGAGAACCCACCTGGCTTGGTGGGATCACTGGGGACATCCCCTGTCCCCAACCCATGGGAGAATGAAGAACCCACCTGGCCAGGTAGAGGGGCTTGGTGGGGTCGTCGGGGCTCACGGACACGCAGTCGCCCACCTCCAGCGTCTCGGAGTCGATGCAGACTCGTTGGTAATAATCCTTCTTGCCGTCACTCTGCCGGGGCACGGGGCCGTTACAGGTACCGGCCCCACCTGGATGGGGTCCCTCACTTGGATGGGGTCCCTCACCTGGATGGGTTCCCTCACCTGGATGGGCTCCCTCACTTGGATGGGGTCCTCACCTGGATGGGGTCCCCACCTGGATGGGTTCCCTCACTCCTCACCTGGATGGGCTCCCTCACCTGGATGGGGTCCTCACCTGGATGGGGCTCTCACCTGGATGGGCTCCCTCACTTGGATGGGGTCCTCACCTGGATGGGGTCCTCACCTGGATGGGTTCCCTCACCTGGATGGGGCTCTCACCTGGATGGGGCTCTCACCTGGATGGGTTCCCTCACTTGGATGGGATCCCTCACCTTGCCAGATCCCCTCACCTGGACATGTCCCCTCACCTTTCCAGGCCCCCTCACCTGCCCAGGTGCCTCACCTTGATGGGCTCCCCGACCCAGGAGATCCGGCTCTTGTTCTGCTTCTTCTTGCGGCCCTGCAGCATCTTCTTGGGCGAGGGCATCTCGGGGATGTTGTCATCGACCTCCTCATCCTCATCCGCCTCCCGCACCGCCAGGTTGGGACACCTGGGACGTCGCCAGGGATGTCACCGGGGGCTCAGGGATGGGGACAGCGGGGTTTGGGGACAGGGACATTGGGGACAGGGACGTTGGGACAGGGCCACCCACCTCCTCTGCAGACACGCCTGCTTGCTGCGGCCGCTGCCCCCGAACTTGACCATGTTCTGGCACGCCTTGCACTTGCCACACTCGGGCTGCTGGCACACCTGGCACGGGACAGGGGACACCGGTGACACCAGGAACGCTCCTCCATGATCAACTCAACTAACTCGTGATGTTGATGTTGACCAAGGTTGGAAGATCTTCCAAAACCAACCAACCCAACCCATGACATTGACATTGGCATTGACCAAGCTGGAAAAGCCCTCCAAGATCAACCCAACCCATGACAATAACATTGACCAAGATTGGAAAACTCCCCAAGATCAGCCAACCCAACCCAAGGAGGTGATGTTGACCAAGACTGGAAGAGACCTTCAAGACCAACCAACCCAACCCATGACGCTGATGTTGGCCAACACTGGGAATCCTTCAAGACCAACCAACCCAACCCATGACGCTGATGTTGGCTAACACTGGGAATCCTTCAAGACCAACCAACCCAACCCATGACGCTGATGTTGGCTAACACTGGCAGTCCTTCAAGACCAACCAACCCAACCCATGACGTTGATGTTGGCCAACACTGGGAATCCTTCAAGACCAACCAACCCAACCCAATCCATGACACTGACATTGACCAAGGCTCAAAGACCCTCCAACACCAACCCATCCCCGCCCCACTGCCGGTGACCCTCGGTCACCTCGCAGACGCCGCAGCGCCGGCGCTTGGTGGCGTTCTCCTTGTCCTCCTCGCGCTCGTCCTTCTCGATCTGCTCCGAGAAGAAGGTGTCGAAGATGAGGTACACCAGCTTGGTGGTGGTGGCCTTGGTGGGACCCTTGTCCTTGTCGATGCGCGTGGGGTGGCGGATGGCCTGGCGCCGCACGGCTCGCCTGCGGCACGGGGACAGCGCTCAGGCCACGCCCGGGGACGGGGGCACCACCCCGGGGACACCCAAGGGACCCCCACAGGTACCAGGTGGGGTCCCCAAAAGGTGTGGATGGATTTTGGGGACCCAACCCGGCGTCCTTCCCCCTCTGGAGCAGCACCAGGTTTGAGTTTGCCCAATTTTGGGAGGATCTTCCCAATTTTGGGAGGGTTTTTGTGATCTTGGGAGCATCTTCCCAATTTTGGGAGAATTCTCCCAGTTTTGGGAGGGTCTTCCCAATTTTGGGAGGGTTTCTGCTCTGATTCCCAGTACTTCTCATGCCACTGAACCCAAATCCTCACCAGTTTTGGGAAGACTTTCCCAATTTTTGGTTGGATTCTCCCAATTTTGTGGTCACAGAACCCAAACCCTCCCCACTTTTGAGCAAATTCTCTTACTTTTGAGGTCTCTCTTCCCGAATTTTGGTATTTTAGGGTTTTTGCCCCCAAACCTCACCTCCTGCCCAGGGTGACCTCACCCAGCTTCACGAGGTCCCTCATGCCCAGCATGAGAATCCCCAATTTTGGGCCGATTTCCCCAACATTGAGACCCCAGAGCCCAAACCCTCCCAAATTTTGGTCGGATTTTCCCACTTTTGGGTTTGCCCGCAAACCTCACCTCTTGCCCAGGGTGACCCCGGCCAGCTTGATGAGGTCCCTCATGCAGGGCGTGATGAGCACCGGGGGCTCGTCGCTGTCGCCGGCCTCGTCGTAGCTCTCCACCTGCTCCACCACGAACTGGGCGTGGCGCAGCAGCGAGTCCTCCGTGAAACGGTTGAAGTTGAGCCCCGCCGGCGGCACCGTGGTCTGGGGGAATTTGGGAAGGGTTGGAGATGGCCAGGAATGGCAGCTGACCCCTCCCCAGATCGCCCATTCCAAAGGTCATCGAGGTTGGGAACGGCTGGGACGGTTGGGAAGGGCTGGAGATGGTTGGGAATGGTTGGGGATGGTTGGGAAGGGCTGGAGATGGTTGGGGATGGTTGGGAACGGCTGGGCATGGCCATTGACCCCTCTCCAGACCACCCATTCCAATGGTTGGGAATGGTTGAGATGGTTTGGAATGGTTGGGGATGGTTTGGAACGGTTGGGGATGGTTTGGAATGGTTGGAGATGGTCTGGAATGGTTTGGAATGGTTGGGGTTGACCACAGTGGCACTGTCACCTCAACTTTGTTGAGCTGGTGTCACCTCCTCCTCCTTCTCCTGCTGACCCCATCCCATCTTTTCCACAGGGGAACTGTCCCCAGGAGGGGGAGGTGACACCATGGGGAGGTGACACCACGGCGAGGTGACACCGCAGTGGCACTGTCACCTCCATCTTGTTGAGCAGGTGCCACCTCCAGCATCACCATCCCCATTTCCACCCTTGTCCCATCTTCTCCATGGGGGAATTGTCCCCAGGATGGGGAGGTGACACCACGGGGAGGTGACACTGCAGGGAGGTGACACCACGAGGAGGTGACACCGCGGTGGCACTGTCACCTCGATCTTGTTGAGCAGGTCCTCGTAGCTGACGTGGCGGTTGTTCTGCAGGAACTCCACCACGATCTTGCTCATGTAGATCTTCTCCTGCATCAGCGCGAAGGTGGGCGCGTACTCCTCGCTCGGCTCCATCAGGATGTAGTCGGCAAAGGCTGGGAAAAGCCCCAAAATGGTGGGATTTTGGGGAAAAAAATGGGGGGTTCTTGGTAGGGGAGAGGAAAGGAATGGGGGAAAAGAGGGGAAGAGGAGGAAAAGAGAGAAAAAATAAAGGAAAAAGAGGAAAAAGGGAGGAAAAAAGGGGAAGAAAGATAATAAGGGGGAAAGAGCAGGAAAAAGGAAAGAGGAGGAAAGAAAAGAAAAAAAATAAAGGGGAAAAAAGGAGGAAAAAGGAGAAAAAAACAAGAGAGAAGAAAAGAAAAGACAGAAGAAAAATGGAAAAAAGAGAGAGACAAGAAAAAGACAAAAGAAAACGAGAAAAACCAGAAAAATGAAAGAAGAAAGAAAGAGCAAATGGAGAAAAAAGGGAGAAAAAAAATGGAAAAAATGGGGCAAAAGGAGGAGGAAGGGAGAAGAAAGGAAAAGGGAGAAAAAGGAGGGGAAATGGCAAAAATCCTGAAACCCTCCCCACCAAAACCTCAAAAAAGCCCAAAATAACCCAAAACCAACCCAAAAAAGCCCCAAATTCCCCCCAGAGCCCCTCCTCACCTGTGCTGAAGCCGATCAGCGCCTTCTCCCCGCCGTCGAAGCCCGTGATCCACCAGGCATTGATGGGCCCCAACTTCTTGGCTCTCACCCCACCTGCCAAGGCAAAAAAATCCGGACAATTCCCACCCGGGCATCCCAAAATCCCCCGGAATTCTGGGCGTTTCCTCACCGTCCAGGCAGGGGTTGTCATCGTAGATGGGTTTGACGACGCCGCTGAAGTAGAGCTCGATGTTCCTCTCGATGAGGCCGGTGTCGAAGGGACAGAGGTGTCCCCTCTTGTCATAAACGCTGCCGGGGGGGACAAGGAGGGCATGGGACACCATTCCAGAGGGAATTCCAGCAGGAATTCCCTCCAGGATCTCACCTGAAGGAGGTGACTTTGTGCTGGGGGAGGTCCTCGTAGCTCTCGAAGCCGTCCTCGTTGGCGTCGAAGATGGACAAGCGCTCGTCCGTCAGCATCTCCGGCTCCTCCAGCTGGATTTGGGGGGAAAAAAACCCCAAAAAATGGGATTAAGGGATATTCCTGCTTTTCCTGAGCTCGGGGAAGGAGGGTTTGGATTCCTTACGGCGTCGTCAGGGTCCCCTTGGAAGAATTTGAGGTCGGGGTCGTCCAGGTACTGCCGGCAGTCGAGGCATTTTGGGGGGGTGGTCTGCGGGAGAGGGGAGGGAGAGTCAGCTTTTCCCAAAGTTATTCCTGGAATTATCCTGGATTTTGGCAAGATCTGGAGATTCCCATCAGAACCAGCCCCAGCTGTTTGGTTTTGGGAAGCTGAACGGGCTGGAAATGGGTTTGTATTCCCATAGGATAATCCACCCTTTGGAATAATCAACTCATCCCAAAAAACCCTAAAATTTGGGAGTTTAAGGGATTAAGAAATCCCAAAAAAAACTGGAATGAGGAGAGACTTACTTTAGCGGGAGCAGTGATTTTAACCTGAGGGATTTCGTCTTTAATTTCCGACCTGGGAGGGAAAAATGAAATCCTGAGATGAGGATGGAGCAGTGACGTCATCGTTGTCATTGTCACCGTCACCGGGACACGGCTCCGGCCGGGAATGTTCCCCTTTTCCTCACCCATCTTTGGTTTCCATTTTCATCCTTTTCTCATCTTGATCCTGGAGAAAAAGGCAAAAAAATGGGAAAAGGAGAAGGAAAACGCAATCCCAGTGTGGCCAAAATCCTGGAAAATCCCCCCAGGATGTCACAACAGAGCAAAATCCTGGGAAATCACCCCAAAAACAACCCAGGACAGGTCTGGGATGTCACCACTGACCAAAATCCTGGGTAATCACCCCAAAAACAACCTGGGAAAGGTCCAGGATGTCACCACCGACCTTCTCCTCCAGCTCCTCCTCCTCCTTCTCGACGTTCATCAGCTCCGGCTTCACCTCCCCGTTGACCTCCTCCGATTTCCGCTTGTTGGATCTGCGGGATCGACCAGGACGGGGTTTTTTGGGAATGGGGAAGGGTTTGGGATGGTGGGATGAGGAAGAGGAGGGTGACCTTTCCCACTGACCCTTTGGACAGGAGGCTGAGGATGGTCGGCTGCCGGCCGGAGCTGCGGGTGACGCGGGAGCTGGCCGGAGACTCTGCAGGAAAACCACGGTGGATCCCAAATCCCAACGGGAATTGTCACAGCCCAAGCCCAGGACACCCCAAAACCCTTCCCAAAGGGATCCCAGTTATTGATCCCAACGGGAATTGTCACAGCCCAAGCCCAGGACACCCCAAAACCCTTACTGAGGAGACCCTAAAATCCTTCCCAAGATCATCCCAACTCTCAATCCCAGCAGGAATTGTCACACCCCAAGGCCCCAGGAGACTCCAAAACCCTTCCCAAGATCATCCCAGCTCTTAATCCCAATGGGAATTGTCACATCCCAAGGTGAGGAGACCTCAAAATCATTCCCAAGGTGATCTCAACTCTGAATCCCAACAGGAATTGCCACACCCCAAGCCCAGGACACCCCAAAACCCTTCCTGAGGAGACCCTAAAACCCCTCTCAAGGTCATCCCAGTTCTTGATTCCAATAGGAATTGTCATACCCCAAAACCAGGAGACCCCAAAACCCTTCCCAAGGGGATCCCAGTTCTTGATCCCAATGGGAACTGTCACATGCCAAGACCACAAGACCCCAAAACCCTTCCCAAAGGGATCCCAGTTATTGATCCCAACGGGAATTGTCACAGCCCAAGCCCAGGACACCCCAAAACCCTTACTGAGGAGACCCTAAAATCCTTCCCAAGATCATCCCAACTCTCAATCCCAGCAGGAATTGTCACACCCCAAGGCCCCAGGAGACTCCAAAACCCTTCCCAAGATCATCCCAGCTCTTAATCCCAATGGGAATTGTCACATCCCAAGGTGAGGAGACCTCAAAATCCATCTTTGGTTTCCATTTTCATCCTTTTCTCATCTTGATCCTGGAGGAAAAGGCAAAAAAATGGGAAAAGGAGAAGGAAAACGCAATCCCAGTGTGGCCAAAATCCTGGAAAATCCCCCCAGGATGTCACAACAGAGCAAAATCCTGGGAAATCACCCCAAAAACAACCCAGGACAGGTCTGGGATGTCACCACTGACCAAAATCCTGGGTAATCACCCCAAAAACAACCTGGGAAAGGTCCAGGATGTCACCACCGACCTTCTCCTCCAGCTCCTCCTCCTCCTTCTCGACGTTCATCAGCTCCGGCTTCACCTCCCCGTTGACCTCCTCCGATTTCCGCTTGTTGGATCTGCGGGATCGACCAGGACGGGGTTTTTTGGGAATGGGGAAGGGTTTGGGATGGTGGGATGAGGAAGAGGAGGGTGACCTTTCCCACTGACCCTTTGGACAGGAGGCTGAGGATGGTCGGCTGCCGGCCGGAGCTGCGGGTGACGCGGGAGCTGGCCGGAGACTCTGCAGGAAAACCACGGTGGATCCCAAATCCCAACGGGAATTGTCACAGCCCAAGCCCAGGACACCCCAAAACCCTTCCCAAAGGGACCCCAGTTATTGATCCCAACGGGAATTGTCACACCCCAAGGCCAGGAGACTCCAAAACCCTTCCCAAAGGGATCCCAGTTATTGATCCCAACAGGAATTGTCACACCCCAAGGCCAGGAGACTCCAAAACCCTTCCCAAGATCATCCCAGCTCTTAATCCCAATGGGAATTGTCACATTCCAAGGTGAGACCTCAAAACCATTCCCAAGGTGATCTCAACTCTGAATCCCAACAGGAATTGCCACACCCCAAGCCCAGGACACCCCAAAACCCTTCCTGAGGAGACCCTAAAACCCCTCTCAAGGTCATCCCAGTTCTTGATTCCAATAGGAATTGTCATACCCCAAAACCAGGAGACCCCACAACCCTTCCCAAGGGGATCCCAGTTCTTGATCCCAATGGGAACTGTCACATGCCAAGACCACAAGACCCCAAAACCCTTACTGAGAGAATCCCCCTCTCCATCCCAATGGAAACTGCCCCACCCCAAACCCTCCCCACCCCCCAGAAACCCCCAATTACACCCCAAAAACCCCCAAGAAACCCCAAACCCTTACTTTTGGCATCTCCATTGGAGCGGCTCCTGCGGGATTTCCGCGCCCGCCCGGCGGGGCCGGAGCAGGACGGGGACGAGGACGCTGCCACCCCCTCCTCGAGCTCCATGGCCCCGTCCTCGTCCTCGTCGCTGCCGTAGGCGCCGTTCCCGGGGCACCCGTTGGGGTTGGGAGCCCCGGAGCCATTGGGGGCCGAGAGCTCCTGGTGCAGCAGCGCCTTCACCTTGGCCAGGTAACGCTCCTGGGGAGGGGAGCACCTGGAGCTGAGCCCCAACCCTGGGGTGTGATCCCAAATCCCACAGGGAAATGGGGGCTGAGCCCAAATCCCGGGGTGTGATCCCAAATCCCACAGGGATTCGTGATCCCAAATCCCACAGGGAAAGTGGGGGCTGAGCCCAAATCCCGGGGCTTTCCTGAGGTGTGATCCCAAATCCCACAGGGATTCATGATCCCAAATCCCACAGGGAAAGTGGGAGCTGAGTGAAGTCCCAGGGTTTTCCTGGTTTCCTGGGGTTTCATCCCAAATCCTGGGGTTTCATCCTAAATCCTGGGGTTTTATCCCAAATCCTGGGGTTTTCCCAGAGTTCTCCAAGTGTTGGGTTTTCCTGGAGTTCTCCAGGTGTTTTATCCCAAATCCTGGGGCTTTCCCAGAGTTCTCCAAGTGTTTTATCCCAAATCCTGGGGTTTTCCCGGAGTTCTCCAGGTGTTTTATCCCAAATCCCAGGGTTTTTAGGCTTTTCCAGGTGTTTTATCCCCATCCCAGGTTTTGGGGTCTCACCTCGGAGAGCTCCTCGCGGCGCAGTTTGGCCTCGAGCTCGCTGAGCTGCAGCTGCACCTCGGCCTGCAGGAAGCCGTGGATGAGGCTCAGCTTCTCCTGGACGCTCTCCTGGGGACACCGGGACATTGGGGACACGAGGGGACATTGGGGACACCGTGGGGACACTGGGGATGGAGGGGACACGGTGAGGACATGGGGAGCAGGAAGCCGTGGATGAGGCTCAGCTTCTCCTGGACGCTCTCCTGGGGACACCGGGGGGACATTGGGGACACCGAGGGGACATTGGGGACACCGAGGGGACATTGGGGACATGAGGGAACACTGGGGACACAGCATGGACACTGGGGATGGAGGGGACACGGTGAGGACATGAGGAGCAGGAAGCCGTGGATGAGGCTCAGCTTCTCCTGGACGCTCTCCTGGGGACACCGGGACATTGGGGACAGTGTGGGGACACTGGGGATGGAGGGGACACGGTGAGGACATGAGGAGCAGGAAGCCGTGGATGAGGCTCAGCTTCTCCTGGACGCTCTCCTGGGGACACCGGGACATTGGGGACACCGAGGGACACTGGGGACACGAGGGGACATTGGGGACACAGCAGGGACACAGGGGACATGGCAGGGACATTGGGGACAGTGTGGGGACACTGGGGATGGAAGAGACAGAGGGGACAGAGAGGAAGGAAGCAATGGAGGGGACACTGGGGACAAAGTGATGGAGGGGTCAGAGGGGACAGAGTGGGGACAGAGAGGATTGAGGGGACAGCATGGGGACACAGGGGACAGAAGATGGAGGGGACAGTGTGGGGACAAAGGAGACAGAGGGGACAGCATGGGGACACAGGGGACAGAGGGAACAGTGTGTGGACAGAGGGGACAGAGGATGGAGGGGACAGCATGGGGACATTGTGGGGCACAGGAGAACTTCCCAAGGGGACAAGGTGGAGCACGAAGGGGACACTTCCTGTGGGGACACAGGGACTGCCAGGTGACACCGGGGACATTTTGGGACTCACCTTCTCTCCCAGGTTCTCCTCATCCCGCTCCAAGTCCTGCAGCCTGGGGGGCACAGCCGGGGTCACCGGGGTTGGGGACACCGAGGGAGGGGACAAAGGGACACCGTGGGATGGCTCCAGAGGGGACAGTGGGCCGGGAATGTGGGAATTCCGGAGGGGGGAGGGGATGGGGGGGACAGGGACACCTCCAGTGCCACTGGGAACGTCCACAGGGATGTGGGGCTGGGACCCCTGGAATGCCGGGATGGGGGTCAGGACCCTGGGATTGGGGACAGGACCCTGGGATTGGGGACAGAAACCCCAGATTGGGGTCAGGACCCTGGGATTGGGGACAGGACCCTCAGACTGGGGACAGACACCCCAGGACTGGGGTCAGGACCCTGGGATTGGGGACAGACACCCCAGATTGGGGTCAGGACCCTGGGATTGGGGACAGAAACCCCAGATTGGGGTCAGGACCCTGGGATTGGGGACAGAAACCCCAGATTTGGGTCAGGACCCTGGGATTGGGGACAGAAACCCCAGATTTGGGTCAGGACCCTGGGATTGGGGACAGGACCCTCAGACTGGGGACAGACACCCCAGACCGGGGTCAGGACCCTGGGATTGGGGACAGACACCCCAGGACCGGGGTCAGGACCCTGGGACTGGGGACAGCAACTCTGAGATTGGGGACAGAAACCCGGGATTGAGGTCAGGACCTCAGGATTGGGGACAGGACCCCCAAGACTGGGGACAGGACGCCCAGGATGGGGTCGGGACCCCTGAGATGGGGTCAGAAACCCCAGGACTGGGGACAGAACCATCAGGATTGGGGTCAGGACCCCAGGATTGGGGTCACGACTCCCAGATTGGGGTCAGAGCCCCCAGGATTGGGGTCAGGACCCTGGGATGGGGTCAGAACCATCAAGATTTGGGTCAGGAACCCCAGGATTGGGGTCAGGACCCTGGGATAGGGTCGGGACCTGGGATGGGGTCAGGACAGGAGTCACAACCCAGGTCAGGACCCCTCAGGTGTCACAGCCATTCCCTGGGAATGTCCCCTCCACCAGGGTTTGGGATGGGACCCTCCAGGATGGCTCCTGTCCCCTCTGGGATGGCTCCTGTCCCCTCTGGGATGGCTCCTGTCCCCCAGGATGGCTCCTGTCCCT